ATTCTGCCAAGCACGGAGTAGTTATTTCATGCACTTTATACTGAGATGTACATGAAGAATACAAGAGAGACAGAGATTGGCCTACAAAATTCATATAAAGTAATGTCTCTAAAATACTATAAATGCACATCAAGTCAGCTTTGAGTCACACTTGAAATAAATGACATTTTAGACCCTATCTTCCTTCCCTCCATCCCTTCCTTCTTTCTTCATGTGTTTCATCATTGAACAACAACGTGCCAAGCTCTGCTCTGCATGGGACGTGAGCTCCCCATGTTAATTTGCTAGAGCTGCATAGCAAAGTACCACACACAGAGGGGCAGAAGCAACTGAAATTTATTGTCTCCATTCTGGAGGCCAGAAGTCTGAGAACCAGGCATCAGAGGGCAGAGTCCTCCTAAGGCTGTGAGAGAGAATCTGTTCCAGGCCTCTCCCTGAACATCTGGTGCTTTGCTGGCGATCCATGGTGTTCCTCGTCTTGGAGAGCACCACCCTGACCCCTGCCTTCATCCTCACATGGCGTTCTACCCATGTGCGTGTCTGTGTCCAAATTTCCCCTTTTTTATAAGAGCACCAGTCACATGGGATTAGGGCCCACCCTGATGTCCTCATTGAATTTGATTACCTCTGTAAAGACACTATTTCCCAAAAAAATCACATTCTGAGGTAGCAGTGGTTAGGACTTCAACATATCTCTTGGCGGGGGATGACACAATTCAACCCATAAGATTCGCCAAAGGCAAGGACTCCTGTCTCCTTCTTCTCAGCGTCCCTGTGCCAGGGCCTCATACAAAGGAAGAAAAGCCTTGGAGCCTGCATATATCCTTTTGCTAAATCTGTATGTGCCAGTGAGGAGGGGTTAAGAGCAAGACTCTGGAACCAGAATGCCTGACCTTGAATGCTGGCTCTGCCACTGTATGACCTTGGGCAGGCTGCTAAACTCTCTGAGCCTCCACATACCCATAGAGCTGTTATGAGATTAAATTATTACTATATGTAAAGCATTTGGCACCATACCTTGTACATAGTAAGTGCTATAGAATGTTCACTGCATAATAATCAAGACAGCATGGTGAGGGCATAAAGACAGCCACACAGACCAATGGAACAGAATAGAATCCAGAAATACAAAAGATGCCAAAGAAATTCAAAGGGGAAAGTTAGTCTTACCATAAGTACCATAAAAACTAGATATTCACATGGAAAAAAAACTAAAGAACGCTTACCTCATGCCACATACAAATTAACTCAAAATGGACCATGGACTGAACCATAGGAGCTAAAATTATAAAACTTCTAGGAGGGAACATAGGGGGAAGTCTTTGCAACCTTGGGGTAGGCAGAGATTTCTTAAATGGGACTAAAAAGGATGAACCATTTTTTTTAATTGATTAATTAAATTTCATCAAAATTAAAAACTGTAGCTATGTAAAAAAGCTTGTGAAGGAAATGGAAAAGCAGGCCAGACTGGGAAGTATTCACAGAGTACCCAGCTCACCAGGGGCTTGAATCCCAAAGATATAAAGGACTCTTAGAACACAGCAAAAACAGGACCAAGAGCCCACTTGGAAATGAACAAAAGACTTGGGCAGACACTCTACAAAAGAAGATATCAGAAGCATCAATACACAAATGAAAAGTCTCAACACTGTAAGGCACCAGGAAAATTGAAACTAAAACCCACGCTGAGATACCACTGTTCACCTTAAGGATGATTAATACCAAAATGGCCGATAATACCAAGTATTGATGAAGATGTGGAGCCACTGGAACTTTTGTACACCACTGGTGGGAATCTGAAATGGTACAACCCTTTGGAAAACAGTTTGGCAGTTTCTCACAAAAACTTTACCCATACAATCCAGACATTCTTCTCATGAGTATTTACCCAAGAAAAAGCAAAGCACACATCTACATAGAAAGACTTGGACCCCAGTGTTTACAACAGCTTTAGTCATAAGAGCTCAAACTGAAACAGCCCAAACGTCCATCAACTGATGAATGGAAAAACACACTGTGGTATATCTATTCAATGGAATACTACTCAGCACTAAAAAGGAATGGTATATACAACAGGGCTGAATCTCAAAAGTATAGCGATCACCAGGGCACCTGGGTGGCACAGTTGGTTAGATGTCTGACTCTTCATTTTGACTCAGGTCCTGATCTCAGATCATGATCTCAAGGTCATGGGATTGAGCCCTGAGTCGGGCTCCACATTCAGCATGGGGTCTGCTTGGGATTCTCTCTCCCTCTCCCTCTGCCCCTCTATGCACTTGCTCGCTTGCTCTCTCTCTCAAATAGATAAATAAATCTTTTTTTTAAAAAAGTATAGCGATCACCAATATGGACTTCTAACCTAATCTAGACTAATCTAATCTAGAGTAATGGAGAGTACATCAGTGGTTGCTTACAGCTAGGGAAAGGGGCACAAGGGATCTCTGGAGTGATAGAAATGTTCTGTATCTTGATGTGGTCATGGCTTTATGGGTGTATAAATTTGTTAAAACATACCAAACTGTACAATTAAAATCAGTACCTTTCATTGAATCTAACTAAGAATTTAATCTAAGTCAGTAAAGTTGATCTTCAAATACTAACAATGACAAAAGACCTTCTCTGTATTATTCCACCAGCGGTCCTAGCACTGTGGGATGGACAATAGGTGGTGGGTACATGGCTGCCAAATGGCTGAATAACCCTGTGGCTCAGGAGTCCCCAGAAAGGATTTCTTGGAGGCTGACAGTCCACCTCCAACTGACATCAGTAACCTTCAGAGGCCACTGTTCATCTTGAGTTAATGTTTTCATTAATGACTTTAATGTGGAGTGGAAATACCATGTTTACTCTAATCCCTTTCGACAGGCTGCACTTTAAAACAATTTAAAAGAGGCAGAGACAAAGAAAGGAGCCCTGCGGACTGATTGGGTTTCCCACTAGGACGGACAGAGTTGTTTTCGTCTCTTTCTTTCTCACAGCTATTTCTTTGGTGTCTTCCTAGACATCTTTAGAGACTCTTTCTGAATCAGGGAAGTGTTTCCAGCTCTACCTTGGCTCAGGTTACTGATTCATCAGGAGACTTTAGGGAAACGGAATAGCCAGATCCCCACACCCACCCCAAAGCGCTTGAATATTGGCGTCATGATGTAAGACAGTGCGTCTCAACAAGTTAGTATCTGGGACACACTTGCTGACACTGAAATTGTTGGTGGTGCCTTTGAAGAAACTAAAGCAAACCAAAAGAAAAAAGAAAAAACACTCAAAACACTGAAGTCAGTAATAAGTACACGTTAATCTCTGTGTAACAATGCAGCACGTGTTTATCTCAGGACCGCAACTTACATGCTCGGCGGCTCACAGTGACTGTGATGCTCATCACGGTAATTTCTTTCATCATTTTGGCACTCTGTCACTGGGCACTGTAACCCAAGATTCACAGCTGCCCCACATTCCAGCTATGAGCAGCCTTTGTCTTCAGTGTGAGCTCAACTGTGGGGAATGGTGATGCCATCCTGAGAGTGTAGCAAAGACATCCTACATGGTGAAGATTTGCATGTGTGGGTATTAGAAATCGCCAGGGGACAGGGGAAGAGTAATGATCTGTGACTCAAGGCATAGCATCTCCAATGCTTTAGCTAAGTCTATCTTTTAGACTATTTTTTTAGTTAAAAAAAAGCTTATTGTGGAAAATTTGGAAAAGACTGAAAAATAACAAGTAAAAGAATAATCATATATTTCCCTTCACCATCACGTGAAGCTGGCAGACAAGAGGAGCATCTGCTCCAGCTTCGTGGCCCTCAGCGGTGTCGCTCCCTTCCCTTATCCAAACCGGATGACTCATTTGACCAGGGCCTTTGCTCCCACTGGTCCCTCTGCCTGACAAGCTCCCACTACTGTTGCCTCCTCCAGGAAGCCTTGCCTGATTGCCCAGTGGAGAAAAGCTGTGCATTTTTATGCAGATGCTCTGAGTTCAAGTTTTCTCCCCTCCCCCACCCATCTCTGTCTCTGTCTCTCTCTACTGGCTGTGTGATGGCCACTGAGTTGCTTCACCTCTCTGATCTTCGGTGTTTTCTTTCTGTGCACTGGGATGGGGGAGGGAAGAAGAGGGAAGGTACTTGGCATAATCGGAAGACTTGTTATGTGTTTTGAATGCAGTCTCTTATTGAACCACCCGCCCCTTCCAGTCAGCCTTGTTGGAGGGTATTTTGGACCTCCTTTCACAGATAAAGGCCCTGAGGCTCTGGGAAGGGAAGTCATTTGCCAAAGCTCACACATCTGGAAAGTGGTTGACCCAGGATATAAACCCAAGTCTGCCTGTCTCTGAAACTTAGCTACATCACTATTTTTCAGGGTCATTGGCATTTGAAGGAGCTCAATGAAGAGCCCCACCTTTGCCCAAGTGAGAGGTAGACACAGGGCCAGCCGGGTAGAGGTCAGTGACAGTCCTACAGCGGTGGGAAGCTGGGCCGGGGGACATGGCTTCAGAAGCTGCAGTCATAGGAGCTTCCTGGTATCATACCCCAGAATGAAATTGACCCACCCAGGCACAGGCAGAGTGGAAAACGTCAGACCTTCTCTGCCCACTCCCACCCCTGGGCCCCTGCCTTGGGAGTCTGCCCCATAGAATCGACAACACAGGGGTATTAGGAGAGACTGCCCTTGCTTTCCATGGCAGGCTGGCTCCAAAGAGTGGGCGAAGGGCTACAGCAACCACGTCCATTGAGTTCCTTTTGCAGATAAGCCCACCCTTCCCTAACGAGGAAGATTAAAAGGAAAGGTGAGTATATGGACACACAGCAGGTGCTCAAGGATGGTGACTTTCTTCTCCCTCCCTTTCTCATAAAGACCTTTGCCACTCTGGCTGTGGCCATGGAGAAAGTGGCAGGGCTACCTGAAGGTCCAATCTGTCCTTTAACCATGACCCCAGTGCTGGTTCCACGCTCCCCCTCTCCTGCTGCTAGAAGGGAAGTAATAACCGTCTCTCTTTCACCCTGACCTAGGGCTTGGTCATCGAGCGCCTGGGACGGAGACCCCTCCTCATGGGTGGCTTTGGGCTGATGGCCCTCTTCTTCGGGATCCTCACCATCACACTAACGCTGCAGGTGAGAGGGTGTGTCCGTCATGCCCCGAGGGACGTCAGCATGGAGCCGGCCTCCAGCTCCGGTGCTCTCGGGGTGGGTTCCAGCAGGGGCTCTGCTCCTCACGGCCCCATCTCTAAAATGGGACAGTTGTCCCTGTACCCAGGGGTCTTAGGAGGATTAAATGAGAAACTACCTACAGTACCTGGAAGGGCACCCGAACATGACAAGTGCTAGGGGAATGTAGGTTTGGGGAAATATCACCGGTGAAAGTGGTATTTTTCCCTTTTATGGAGACAGGAAACTGAGGCATAAATATACATGAAGAAGTTGCTCAAGGTTCCACAGCTAGTAAATGGCAGAGCTGGGATGAGATTCCAGGGTCTTGGGGTTTCCTCCTACCCCCTGTCCCCTGCACTGCTCAGGACAACCTGCAGTGACGGAGCCCTTTCTTGGTGCCTCGAGCCTGGCTCAGCACCAAGGGAAGCATGAGGCAAGGTCACGGTGGTCAACAAATCTTGGCACTTTTCAAAAATGAATCCCTGAGTGGAAAGTTGCACGTGTTGATCATTTGCCGAATGTCTTAAGGTCCCAAAAACCTTTAGAAAAAGGCAGTATTAGCCTGGTGGTGCCTGACGGACAGCAGCTTGTCGTCCAGAAAGGAAGTCCTGCTGGGGGCGCTGACCAGGCAGGAGGCAGAAGCATCTGCCGTGGGGGTGATGTGCTGGCAGTGACCCCTCCTGCCCGACTGCCAGACCTGGGTTGACCTGCACAGGGTGCCCTTGCAGGCCCCTCAGATGGACCGAGCTGGATCCCTCACAGTTGGGTGATGTCCTGGCGTGTTGTCTTTCTGCAGTTGTGGCAGATGTTTGGAAGGGTGGCCTGGAGCAAGTGGGCCCCCCTAGGCCTCACTTCACAAGGTCTCAGAGCTCTTCCCTGCTTGGCTGCCCTCCTCTGCCTCTGTCCCCCCTTCCCCACTCCCCCAGCCCTATTGCCTTGCAGCCTCCAAAGAGCCTGCCCTTTCCTCTCCCTAGGGGCCTCCTCTGCTCAACTGGCTTCCCTTGCTTTCCAAATTCAGAAAGTTCTGCACATCTCTTAGATACCTCTTCCTCCAGGAAGCCTTCCCTAACCCCATGTGTCAGTGAGGCACCCTCCTCTGTATTCCCAGGGACCCCAGGGGCAACCCTGCAGTATCACTTATCACACAGGATTGGCTTTCCCTGTTGACTCATCTCTCTTTTCTGATAGAGTTGTGGGAGCAAGGGCCATGCCTGTATCATTTCTGTATTCCCACCTCCCAGCCCAGTGCATGGCACCCAGGAGAAACTAAGAACAATCTGCCAAATGAACAAACGGATGGATGGATGGATGGATGGATGGATGGATGGATGGATGGATGGATAATGGGTGGGTGGGTGGATGGATGGATGGATGGATAGATGATGGATGATGGATGGATGGATGGATGGATGGATGAATAATGGGTGGGTGGGTGGATGGATGGATGGATGGATAATGGGTGGGTGGATGGATGGATGGATGGGTGGATGGATGGATAATGGGTGGGTGGATGGATGGATGGATGGATAGATGAT